AGCACAGCTGTACCCATCATTAACTTCTCATCGGTGCTGACCCATAAGGAGTCAGTAAATGTTTGTTGGAGTTGACCCCTGGCTCCTGCTAATGAACTTCCCAAGGTGAGCAAGGGGGATTTAATATTTTTAGTACCAGCTTTACTGTAGTATGTTTGTGTTTATGTCTACTAGCTGAAGTTTCTCTCTCCTTTGGACAGTTGTAAATAAATTCAAGCACTAGCACGTTCTTTTTCTTCACCCTATTGTCTGGTTTATAACAGGACATGACCCTACTGCCTTTCTTCATTTCCATCGCTTTCAAACCGGGTTACAATTTGTACAAACCTTTTACAGTTACTGCATTTCAGGTTGGCTACTTCTTTATATAAACGGCCAACACCCTGTCAAAAAATTGCCTTTGAATCACATTAAATGAGTTATTATACCTGTAAATTCTTACATGCTTTTAAACAAAGGATATATTTCATAAGAATTTTTATGACCTTTAACCAAAGTCATATCTAAGATAATAATTGTGGGATTCATCTTACCCCACAATGCATCAGGACCATTGTTCACTGTGTATATAGGCTCATCAATCTATATTAACTATCTAATTTGGTATTGTGGGAACTAACAGAAGGGTCATGTGGGTTGAATGAGAATCTGTTCTTTTTAAAACAAACTCTACACATAGACACAGTGGGAAGCTTCCTGGATAATGTGTCTTACACAAGACTACTGATTCCCATGTATTTCTAATGCCATTCTGCTATAATTGTTGCTAACTGACTGCATTAGTAGTGCTCCTTAGAGTTGAGGGATGATTTTTAAAATATCATAGTCTCCCTGGCTGGCTTGGCTCAGTGGTTAAAGCATCGGCCCATGGACTGAAGGGTCGAAGGGTCGATTCCCCGTCAAGAGCATGACGTACCTGGATTGCCGGTTCCTCACCCTGGTCGGGGTGTGTGTGGGAAGCAAACTATTGATGTGTCTCTCTCACGTAGACCTTTCTCTCTTTCTCTCCCCCCCCACCACTCTCTCCAGAAATCGCTGGAGATAATGTCCTCGTGTAAGGATTTAAAAAAAAAAAGAGCCTGGCCCGTGTGGCTCAGCGTTTGAGCATCAACCTGTGATCCAGGATATGGTGGTTCAGTTCCTCATAGGACACATGCCGGGTTGCAGGCTCGATCTCCAGTAGGGGGCGTGCAGGAGGCAGCCCATCAATGACGACTCCTATCTCTGTCTCTCCCTCTCCCTTCTCTCTAAAATCAATAAAGACATATTTTTTTAAAAAAAGGAGAGTCAGTAGCAATGTATTTCTGGGGAATTTTCAAACAACCAGTGATATACAGAACACCTACAGTGGTGTATTTCAGGGCTGTAATTGGAATAATACCACTGAGCACATACTGCGAATCTTTTGTTTCAGGAGAGTGGACAGGCCGATTCTCTGATGCATTCTTGAAGTGTTTGTTAGCACCATGGTTGACTTTATTCTGGGGAAGCAGACAATGTTCTATTTTCATCTTCATCTCTCTATTTTTCTACTATAACTTTAGAACAGCTCAGAAAGATGTCCATTCATCCTTATCATTATGTTCTCCAACTAGAGCAAATGCTTCAAAGCCACAAGGGCAGGTGGTCCATCAATGCCTTTGCAACTTGGGGTTGATGTCGGAGGGGTAGAAAAAAAGAACGAGGAAACTATGTTCAAAATCAATACACATTTGCCTCTCTCTGGGGAACACGCCCGTGCCTTGCCTGCTCCCCCCGTCTCCTTCCCCTCAGGTGCATTACCTTTGCCTTTCCCTCTCCTATGCTCCAAGCACCCTTCTTTTGCTTCTGTAACTTGTTTCCTGAGCCTACACAGCCAAGCTGGCTCACTTCTACAACCTCTGTAACTTTCTAAAATGAACTTTCTCTTATAATTTGGAGGGGAAAAAATCAATACACATTGAATTCTAGAGTTGCTTTAACTCAGTATCATATTTGAGAAAGGAAATACTCAAGAATAAGGAAATTGCCCAGTTATAATTTTCCACTATAACACAGCATCAGGTACATTTTGCCTTCCTTTGAGATACTCAGATGAAAGGCAGACGTGTATGAATGCGAAGGGTTATTACCTATCTTCTCTTTGAGACTGCGGTTATTTAGTAATCATTCTCATTTAAGTTACTCTTACTGTTCTTTGGATGGCTATGCTTCTAGCTCAGGAGGAAAGCAATTCTTATCATAAAAGCCGCCCTATTTGAGAGCCCAGTAAAATTTAAAGCCACAAGAAAATGAATTATATTGAACAAGAGTTAAGGCTTCCAGGCAAAAAATGCATACATGCCAGCAGCATTAAGTCTGCTTTTATCAGCTCTCAATGCTAAGTTCCTGGGGACAGTTATCTAGGGGAAAAAAAGCCTCATGTACTTATGTTTTCTATCCCCTGAGACCTTTGGACATTAGAGCTAAAAGGAGGCCAGGGGCCACCATTCACACCATGCCCAGGTCCCCTGGAGGATGACAACACAGCCTTACATAGCAGACCTCATGTGGAAATACTTGAAAGGAGACCCAGTGAAGATTAACACCTCCGTAAAGAGCTATTGCAGTGGGGCAGGTGAGAAGACACGAAATCCTAAACACAGACATTAGCTGTGAGGCTGAAGGTGAGCAACCAGTGCTGTGAAACGCTTAGGAGGTGGACTCCGCAGGACTTGGTGGGTAACAACGAGTTGGTACGGATTCTGCCCTCACACTGGGAACTTCGGAGTGGTCTCAGTCACGTCTCATCTAAATCTTTGTATTCTCCCTCCTTTGCTTCAAAGTAGGTCACTGTATCTAGGTGAGTTCTTGTGATCACAAAGACTAGAACAGAGCCAGGTATGTCACCATTTTCAGATAAAATTGGTTCTTTAAGGCCTGCAGACTCACCAATGAATGCCTCTCTCCCCCAGCAACGTGCCAGCAAACAGCCTGGGAAATCAACACTAATTAAACTGCTGGCAAGGCACTCTCCGTGGGCTTGGTGAAGAGCAAACTTTGGGAAACATCACTATCCTCAGTGGCAGTGAAGAATCTCCTGGAGAACTGATAGGCATAATTTGTCTTGGCTTCAAGATGTATTTGCATGTGTCCTCAGCAACATATTTGAAATAAGCTAGGGACACAGAGCTGCCATGGTAATTGTACAGGTTGTGGTCTTCATGTGGATGCTCCAGAGAAAAACTAATGGAGATGGAAATAAATCTCATGAGCCACTTGCCATGTGGCCTGTTCGAAGCTGAATCATCCAGGAGGAAAAGACAATGTTTTTTGCTAATTGATTTACTGAGGGAATGCTTTTCTGCAATCTGTCAGTGCCAACGTATCATCTTTTTCGAATGTATGCTAAATTTTATATCTTGAAGGGGACCAAAAATCTTGCCTTTTGGGATATTGATTTTAAGGTGATAATTAAGGGACAAGACTCAGAAAGAACCATTGACTCTCCATGCCCCCTTTCCTGTCGGAAAGATTCAAAAAGAAAAATCTGCTTCTGGAAGGAACTCTTAGGATACTTGCCTTAGCCTAATTTGAATTAAGTACAATAATAGGATCCTAGCTGGGTAGCTCAGTTGGTTAGAGCATCTTCCAGATGTGCCAAGGCTGTAGGTTCCACCCCAGTTAGGGCCCAAAGAGGAATCAACCAACGAATGCATAAACATGTGGAACAAACCGGCGTCTCTCTCTTTCACTCCCTCTCTCTCAAATCAATTTTTTTAAAAAAGTATGATACATAGGGCTTCCGGCAACGGTGTGTTAGCTAGGTACACCCTGTGTCCCATCTTTTCTGCGTTGCCTGGTAAGAATTTGCCAGCCCAGCCATGTATGTGTGTTTCATTCTTCCTCAGCTACCTGTAAATCCTTCATTCTCACTTTTAAAGTTTAAGTCCCCAAGCCCCAGCCCCCTTTTCTCCTTTATCCAAAATGACATATATACCCAATGTTGTCTCACTGTCTGAAATTTTCATGCTCTTTCATGTTCATGTGAATTCCCCATGTGCATATATTAAAATTCTTAATTTCAAAGAATT